CCCCAAAACCCCAAAACCCCAAAACCCCAAAACCCCAAAATCCAAATTTTAAAATTAAAAAATACAAACCTAACAAAAATGTACATCACCTCTAATTCCTAGGCTGCCTATCCCCTTTACTCAAAAGCCCGATCGCCACATCTCCTCACCAATGCACTTGACTGCTGCCTCAGATCCAATTCCTACGCCTAAATTCCTTTCTTTCGTATCACTGAATTCCAGGCGTGGCTCAATTACGAAGAGGAAGCCAGGTGAGTCCTCTACTAGAATTGCACTCGAATCCGGAAGCTTACCGGATTTGTCAGGGTTATTAGTCTTTTGACATTTTAGGTCCTCAGAATAAGTGGAAAGTTATTGGAGACTATATTCTTAGCCAAAAGTAAGTAGGTCTTTTGATAAAGTAGGCCTTATGAGATGCCTATAAGAGAGAGGTATGCCAAATAAGGCTACCGAAATATATCAAAATGTGAAGTTTGTGAGATTATGCTTTAGAAATTAAAAAATAAACAGAAACGAAAATAAAGAGCAAAAGAAAAAGAGTAAAACAAAGAATAGCTTTCGAGACTTCATGGTTCCAACAAAGCAAAGTTCAAGGAAATGATCTTATATACCTAAAAAGATAAAAGAAGAGAAGAAGATTGATCTATTCAAACCTTTGAGGAGTATATTTTTATTCTTCGCTATTTTTTTCTAATTTAGACATTGGTTTCCTATAATTATCTAGATAAAAGGAAAATTAACCATAAAAAGTGTTTTAAGGTGCAATGGAACTCTACTTTATTCTTCTCACCAAGAGAAATTGAGAGAGGACGGCCAATAATATTTCAAAATTATGTATGACCGTATCTCAATCAATAGACTCAAGGTATGGAAGAAAGCATCCAAACTCAGAAAACCAAGAGAAGATACAGAAAGGGATCCCTCTCACGAAAAGAAACTTCTAAAATATTTGACAGAATAGTTAACAAGGATATCCCAGGTACGTCACGCTCTAAAAGGTAAAATTTCATTAATCACCTCAAGGTCGTCTCTCCAAGGTTTGTATTCAATACGAGGTAGTTTCATGAATAAAACAATATGATAAGTTTCAGCCATGTTTATAAATATAGGGGTTTTGGGGTTTTGGGGTTTTGGGGTTTTGGGGTTTTGGGGTTTTGGGG